ATTCTATGACTAACAACTATACAATCATTCCTGGAATAGATGCCAAAATCTAAAATTAAAGAACTTTTTTCCCACCCCCCCTCCCTTCCAGACCGCCCATTATGGGGTAGAGATTGACCTCCAATTAAAGATCCTTTAATTAGCTATCGATAGATACCCATATCAAAAAAAATATTTTTTACACCCCCCACCCCTACCCCCTAGACCGCCAATTATGGGGCAGTGATTGACCTCCAGTTGAATTGATCCTTTGACTAGCTATCGATTAATACCCATATTAAAAAAATTATTTTTTACACCCCCCCTTACCCCTACCCCTCTAGACCACCCATTATGGGGCAGAGATTGTCCTCCAGTTGAATAGATCTTTTGATTAGCTATCGATTGATACCCATATCCAAAAAAATTATTTTTTACTACCCTCCCCAAGCCCCCAGACCGCCCATTATGGCGCAGAGATTAACCTCCAGTTGAATAGATCCTTTGATTAGCTATCGATTGATACCCATATTAAAAATTATTTTTTACACCCCTCCCCCACTCCCACCCCACCCAGACCGCCCATTATTGGGCAGAGAGTAACCTCCAGTTGAATAGATCTTTTGATTGGCTATCGATTGATACCCATATCAAAAAAATTATTTTTTACACCTCCCCCCCACCCCTACCCCCTAGACCGCCAATTATGGGGCAGAGATTGATCTCCAGTTGAATAGATCTTTTGATTAGCTATCGATTGATACCCTATACTAGACATATCTTATATCATAAGGCCAAAAAAACAACATTGAGAATTAAAAAACGCAACGAAACTCGTGGAAAACGCTTTTAAAATAAGATTCCTCTTTATCACGATCAAAACATGATAATTCCCCTATAGTTCTTTATCCTTTAAAAAATTGAAATTTTAAAGAGATCCCTTTAAATCCCGTATAGTCATTATCCCTTTAAAAATTACGACATATATATAATTCTATATTATAGTATTAATAAATATTAATATATAATATATATATTTATTTATTTCATAAGCTCATGAAATAAAATAAATTTTACAGTCAATCTTAAAAAGTATCTAAAAACAGATTCAGATACCTCTAAAAAAATATCTAGATACAGATACCTTTCTAAAAAATCTATCTAGATACAGATACTACATTTTACTCTGCTATTTCATTTAAAGTTATATTGATTTTATCTATTGATGTTGATGCTGTGCTGTTATTTACATATTCACTATCAGAATTTATATTTTCGATATTTTTTTGTGATAACTTTTTACGGCATTTATCACAAATATAATGTTCCGCCTCAATGTTTGGGTCATCCACGTCATGACCTTACGCAGGTTCTTTTTATAATTAAAGTGTTTAGATTCTTTAAAAGGATTTACGCATTTATATTTATAAATTATAAATAATTTTAAGAAGAAAAATAATTAAATTCAAAATATTTGTAAAAAAAAATTAATTAATATTAGGGCAGGTACATGAAACTAGCTTTTATCTTTCAACAATTAATATTTTCTTGTATGAGATATCGGAATCTTAACTATCTTTTTAGGTAATTTAATCATTTATTATAAAAACTAATTTTTACAAGTTATCAATATATAGCAATAATAATAAGTAGTGATCTGCATCGGGCCTAATTTTCAAGACCGGCCCGAAATTTTTTTTAAAAAAGTTTTGCTGGCCCGACCCGAACCCGAATTTTTTTAAAAACAGTTACCAGCCCGAATTTATATAGGAATTAATTTTTATAATTACTCAAAATAAAAGACATATATGTCGTTTAGTTTCAATAAATAAAATCAAATATTTTTATTTTAAATAAAATATTCAATATAAAATTGATAAATAGTTTCAATAAATAAAATCAAATATTTTTATTTTAAATAAAATATTCAATATAAAATTGATAAATTTATATATATTTAAAGAAGTTTCCAAGGTCCGACCCGACCCGGCCCGAATTTTTTTTCAAAATATTAGGCCCGGCCCAACCCGATTATTTTAAATAGAATTAAGCTGAAAGCCCGTCCGGGCCGGGCCTAACTTTGCAGATCTCTAATAATAAGTAAGCCTATCAAACGATCTATATAATATTTTTTCCTGATAGTAATGCTGGAAAATCTTATTATTTATGTTTAAAAGTGAAAAAAAGTTTAAAAAAATAATAATTATAACAAAATACGTTATTTTATAAAGGAGCGCCATCTATTTTTGAAAAAAATATTTATTTTTTGATTTTTTAAATCGTAATAACTATAAAACCCATGGCTGTCTCAAGTTTAAATTTTTTTTTGAATAGATATAATGTTAGAGAATAAGAAAATATTAAATTCAAAAAAATTTGGAAAGCGAAACACCTGGAATTTTTATGTTTAAAATTTATAACATAATTAAAAACCGCAACAATATTATTTCAAAAAAATCCTTAATATTTAATAAAAGGCCTTTAATAGAGTTACAAAATGACATATAACTTATATTTTTAAAATCATTATTATTTAACTTATCTCAATTTCAAAAAATCGTATTTTTCGAAAAAAGGTCATTTTTGGCACTTTTGACCATTGATATCTCTGGAACTATGAGTACTAGGAAGCTAAAATCTTGGATTCGATGCTTTCAAGTGATATTCTCTCAGCATACAAAATTTTATCGAAATTAAAAAGGTTTGGCCGAAAAGTTATCGATTTGGTATGGAATTACCCTTTAATTACATTTTTAAATTAAAATTTTGGAATGGAGTTTAAAATAAAAATTTGGGCTCAGACTTTTTGGGTTAAAAAAAGGAACTTGCAGAGATCTAAGGCAGTGTTGTTAAACGCTACTTTTAAAAATAGTACGTTGCCGTTAACGCCATTTGGCAAAAAATAGCTTCCTATTAGCAATTTTTTTGAGAAATTTGCTTTTTTATAAATTTTTTTAATATATATCAAATCTATTTACATAAAATTAACATTTTAAATATAGTATAAGTACTTTACCTTAATAAACATTTGTTGCAGCTTTTAAATCTTCTAAACTTTTTGTATAAGAAAAATTATCAAAAATATTCATTTGAGTAATATAGATTTAAAAATTGACGATTTATTATCTAATGTATCTTCGTTGGGCATTAGATTAATCAACATTCCCAATAGCTTATTTAACTGCTCTTTCCAATTAAGTTAATAAAAATCAGTACATAGATACTTTATTTTGTCTTCATGTGCCAACAATCTCCTGTGAGATCTAATATTAAAGACTTTCATTTCTTGAAAATTCTTACCATTCACTTCTGGGAGCAGGATATCTTAGTACAAATAAATGAGATTATTATCAAAGAAAATTGCCTGACCTTTATCAATTATAAAATTATTCTGACTATCTGTTAATTTCCCATTTTTTGAAATATAAATTATAATTAAAGATTATAATATAAAATTTTAAAGTAGCGAAGTATCGCGCTACTTAACTACTCTAGAAAAGAGCGTGCTAACGCTATGGCTATTTTTTTAAATAGCTGACTAACAGGAGCTCTGGTGTTCTGATAATGTGAGTAGTTAATTGGATGTTAATGAGCCACATAGTTTCAGTGTAAATATAACAGGAATTATTGGACGAACTTTTTTACCTCAGAGCAAGGTGAATTTTTGCTGTCCTTCTCTCAAGCGATTTTGCACATTTTATTTTCGAATATACCTTATTGTTGATTTCAAAAAAATAAAAGAGAGATAAAAGCGACTATAAATTTTATTTTGGAGAAAATAAAATATTAATTTATATAAAATTCAATTAAAAAATGGTAACGATGCTAAATAATATAATCAAAAAGAGACCTGCAGAGGTACCATTTCACGGCGCCCGGATTATTTTAACTATTAATGACGATTTAAAATATTTTGTTTTGGCCCTGGTATATTTAAAAAAATTAAAATACGGCTCGGGCTTAGGGCCGGGTCTGCGGTCTCTGAAATATATTAAACAGATGTATTGCCCTATGAAATCCTCATCTAGCAAGATTAAATTATTAGGCCATAAATTACAAAAAATATATTAAATAAAATGCATATAAAAATATTTTTATACTGTGCACATAAAAGACATTCTCAATGAATAAGTATATTTGCATTAATGGTCTGCAATACCCGCCCCATACGTCTGAGAATTTTTTTGAGTCAGGTGGCAAAAAATACAAGTCCTAAGGCTGAGCGATTGTTTAGTAAAGTAAAAAAAAATAAATGCGATCCCATACGAATTATAGCCTCTCTAGGAAGCATCCAATTTTTATTTTTTTAAAATATAATTTATAACAAATTTTTTAGGTGAAATAATTATAAATAGTAATGTGTCTATCTCTGTAGTAAAAAAAATCACGCACTTTTTTGAATAGAAGAAACAATTTTTGATATTTATTTATAGAATAAGAAAATTAAGTAGAGGGTTTAATCAATTAAGAGAAATGAAAGCAAATGTCGTCAGATATCAATATCGGAGTAGTATGGAAACAAAAATTTTACCTAATCATATTTTACTTGGTAGCCCCCCCTCCACTTGTCTACGCTAATTATAAATAATTATGCAGTATTTTTTCAATGCAATTAATTTCATTAATTATATCATTTTTTTAAATTTCTTTGGTAAAAATACAATTATATTAAAAATGATTGGTTATATAAAATATTTACAAAGTAACTTTAAATTAGTAATTTTGAAATAATATAATTAGTTACCTATTAAAGGTGATGGTTAACAGCACTAATTATATCTATATTTTTAAAAAATAGAAGTACAGTCTATCTTGAAGCAGCCATATTTGGCTACTAACATTTTTCTATTAATTGTTCGGGCCCAAATTTACTACTAAATAATAAAGTTTAATTTTTTTTTTTTAATTTGACCAACCTAATGTTGTTTATTGATAAGCTTAGTGTATCTTTCCTTGTCCTTGTGTATATTTTCACAACATATCAATATTCAATTACATTATACATTTATTATAAACAAAAGCAAAAGTCATTGTCTAGCTCAAAGGAAATACGCCTTAAACGATTCTCCGATCAAAAATTTAATGAATTCTTTCCTATATCATCTTAAGAACGATCTTGCATTTGCTAAACCCTCCTCTCCGGATCATAATAAATTCCATGATAAGATAGCCGACACACCCTTTACAGCAAAGAGCCAGCTCGATTTAAAAGTTAAACAAGGATATGAATCTCCTAAAACTAACCTTTTTACGACCTTAGATTACAAGAAAAGACGAGGCAGACCATTGAAATCATCAAATTCGATTGACAGCGAAAGTAAAGCTCATAAGTTAAGATCTATAAATGTCGTTTCCACCTCTTTTAAATCAAATGAATGTTATAAAGTATTAGAACGCCCCACCTCAAATGCACAGCAGCCCGAAATTATGGATACGTTTGATTTTCTTTCATGGCTTTACATGAGACGTATATACTAAAAAATATATATTATGCAGTATATTTTAATTGAATCCTTAATTTTATCGATAATATTTTAAATTTAAAAAAATAATAATTCTAGATTTACCTGAAATACCATCATATTTGAAAAATATTGATTGCTACATGAATAAATTTATCAAAGATCTTGAAAATGTTGCCTAAAAATATATACAATAATATTTAATATTTTTATTTCATTATAAATATAATATCAAAATATATATATTCACATTCAGAAAATTATGTAATTGGATTCATTATATAAAATGGAACCTTTTGTAGAGTTTTATTAAGTTAACTTATCGGGTACTTGCTCCTAATAATTTAAAGCAACTAGTTACCCTTTTTGTGGAACTTTAACTGCAGTTAGCTACTGCATTAATTTTTATTTATTATTAATATAAAAAAAATGCTTGATTATTTTTGTAAATGCGTGTTAATTTTATAAATTAAAGTTTGAAATATATCTTGTTTTTTCCGCTGATCATAATGATAATCTAAATTTTGTGATATTAAATATTGTTTAAAATTTTATAAGATTTGCAATTTAACTTAGATCATTTTTAAAAAATATTTTCATTTTAGATTTATATTTACCAAACTTTTTCTTCTTCTTCTCCGTTTTATGGCGATTTCCAGGTTTACCCGGGTAGGCCAGTTTTCCCTCTGATTTTTCTTTTCCATTTTTGACGGTCCTGAGCATCAATACTTGTAAGATTCAAGCTTCTCATATCCGCCGCTATCACATTTGTCCACGTCATCTTGGGTCTTCCTCTAGGTCTTGATCCTCCTACTTCCATCATTGTGCATCTCTTTACCCAGTCATCTCTTGTCATACGTTCCACATGCCCAAACCATCTTAGTCTATTTCGTCGCATTACCATACCAATCATTTCTATACCTAATCTTGCTCGCAATTCCTTGCTAGTTTTTCTCTCTCTCAGAGATACCCCACACATCCATCTAACCATCCTCATCTCTGTTCTTTCTAATTTGGCTTCGTGAATTGCTTTCATTGCCCATGTTTCACCGCCATAAACTAAACAACTCCTCACGCAGCTTACGTAAACTTTCCCCTTTAACTTCAGAGAAACTTTTTTATTTGTAAGAATAGATGACATCTCTCTGAACTTCTTCCAAGCTTGTCTGATCCTTGCAACAACAGCAGAATCTACACCACCATCTGCGTTTAGCATATCACCTAAATAACAAAACTTATCCACTTTTTCTAGGGTTAACCCATTGCCAATATCCAGACCACCATTTTTTAGGTTATCATTATTATGTATCCCTTTCATGCATGTTTTACAAATAAAGGTCATTCTTTCTAACATCAAACTGCCTTTTTTCCCACTACATCTTTTATGTACCCATTTCTGGCATCTGGTGCATTGGATAGAATTTCTAGCAACTCCTTTCCCACATACACCACAAGGCCACTTACCTGATTCTTCTATCTTTAGATTTTCCCCACCAATCATCACCTTTGTTTTTGATGCATTCATTTTCAGGCCCTTTGCTTCCATAGTCATCTTCCATTTACTAACTTTATCCCTCAATTCTCCCTCACTGTTTGCCATTAATACAAGGTCATCTGCATATAATATCTCCCAGGGAAGTCCTTCACGCATTTCTCTAGCCACCACATCCATTACTAAGATAAATAATAATGGACTCAGCACGGATCCTTGATGAAGTCCTACCTTCACCTCAAAGCTGTCACTATCATCATGATCCGTCCGTACTGCTGTTTGTGCTCCAACATACATTGCCATCACTGCGGTAACTAACCATTCCTCCACACCGGATTTTCTCAAGGCCCATCTTGTAATCTCACGCGGCACCCTATCAAATGCTTTCTCCAAATCACAAACGCATAATAGAGTTTCTTTTCCTTCGCAAGATACTTCTCCTGAATTTGTCTCACCACAAAAATTGCATCTGTCGTGCCTTTTCCCGATGTAAAACCAAACTGCATTTCATCAATTTTGATTTGTTCCCTTATCCGCTTTTCTAACACTCTCTCAAAAACTTTCATTGCATGTTCCAAGAGTTTAATAGCTCTGTAAGACCCACAATCTAAAGGATCACCTTTCCCCTTGTATACTGGGATAATTATACTTCTTCGCCAGTCCTCGGGAATAGTACCTTCTGTGACAATCTGATTTGCTAAATTCATTAACCATTCAATCCCTAAATCATCAGAACCTTTAAACATCTCTGATACCACCATCGTTAAACCCGATGCCTTCCCTTTCTTCATCTTTTTCACTGCTCTCCTTATCTCGTCCTTGCCAAATTTACACCCTGGACCTTCTACCTTTGCACAACTAATATTATTATTCCATTCATTTTCTTATTCAAAAGTCCTTTCATGTAAATCTTCCAGGTGTTCTTAATACCACTACTATCAATCGTCATTTTTCCTTCCATATTTTTCAAACACTTTACACCTATCACATCCTGCCTCTTTTTTGACATCTGTTTTGCCATTCTAACCATATTTCCAATTCCATCAGCGCATTTCATTTCTTTAGCAAACTCGTGTCTTTTTTCTTCTTGAGCCTTCGCTATTAATTTCTTAGCATTTCTTTTAGCCATCTTGTAAATATCATTATCACTATTTTCTTTGCTATTATACCATACTTTGAAACACCTCCGTTTCTCATCCACGGCTTTCGCTACCTCTGGGCTCCACCACCAAGTCTCCTTATGTCTAGGCGGCCCTTTTGTCCATCCACATACCTCCTCAGTTGTCATTACCCAAGCTTTCTTCATGGCTTCCCACTTGTCATTCACCCCAGATGCTTGTGCCACCTCCGCCTCCCTAATCGCCAATGCCATATTGAATTGACGTCTAGCATTCTCCTCCTTCAATTTCCAAACCTTCAGCCTTGGGACAAACTTTCTTTTAGTGACCCTGGCACCTTTAAGAGTGAGATCTCCTACAACTAGTCGATGCTGATTTATACATTCCTCTCCCGGTATCACTTTCACATTTTTTATTATACATCGATCACATCTCCTTAATAACAAGTAATCCACAACACTTTTGGTACTACCCGACTTATAAGTCACCAGCTTCTCTGATTCTTTCTTAAACATTGTATTACAAACAATCATATCCATAGCATCACTAAATTCTAAAATCCTCTCTCCTTCCAAATTTCTCATGCCATAACTGAACCCTCCATGTACTCCTTCATAACCCTCACTACTCGCTCCCACATGTCCATTCAGATCACCAGCCAGGATAATCCCCTCTTCATTTGCCAGTCTCGATGTCACCCCCAATAGACTGTCCCAAAATACATCTTTCTCTTCTTCACTTCTTCCAACCTGAGGAACATATGCCGAGATCATATTATATAGCTTTCTACCAATAATCATCTTGATAACCATTATCTGGTTGTCTAGCCTTCTCACTTCGACTACTTTGTCTACCAATTTCTCCGCAACCAATACCCCAACTCCAGCCTTACCATCATTACCTCCTTGCCAAAAGAATTTATACTTTTCGCTAGTCTTGCCAATCATTCTGGTCCCATTTCCTTTCCATCTAGTCTCCTGTATGCAGCACACATCTATATGTCTTCTGTGCAATACATCGACGACTTCTCCCGCTCTTCCCGTCATACTCCCAACATTCCATGTCGCGACCCTAACTCGATCACCCGTAAACTGGTTTCTCCACTTTTTATTAGGTCGTTTATGGCCGTCATAGGTTTCATTTTCATGAATAGTGGTTCCACCAGGTTTCCCATCCTTCTTTTTGTCGTAGGCGGATGAGGAGGCCCACGGGGTACTTTGGGCTGTACCCCGCCCATGCTTTGTTGTAACCATAGGGAAATTTTTGTAGCATGGTTTTTACAATCGGATGCCCTTCCTGACATCAACCTCTTTAAGTGGTTTTTACACCCCGTCGAGGAGACGGTGATCCTATTCTAGACCCAGATCACAGGGAACCTTTTAGACCTCCATTTGCCGCCAAAAGACGTTGCCACTCCCCCGCCACGATGAGGCTGAAGGTAGGATTTTGGGAGAGATTTATCAAACTTTTTCTATTGTTTGTAAATTAAATTACCCTATGTTATAATATTTATTAATTGTCAACGTAATTTATTTATACTATGGTTTTTTTTATTTTATATTTATTTAAACTTTTTAGATTTAATAAATGAATCATCATATGCATTGAATATATGTTAAGACAAAAAAAAGGAAAAAATATTTTTTTTAAATGTCTAAAATCAATTACTAATAGAAATATTTATCAATAATAATTTCAAATTTAGAACGATATATAACAAAGCTATATTATTGTATCGTGCAAATTGGTCAAATTACCGCTTGGCGTTAGAAACCATTTTAGAAACTTAAACTTGTTTGCTTCTTTCAAGTACTGTTTTATTCATTCTTTTTGGACGTTGGTCTATGACCAGTTCTTTATAAACTCTGATTTCTGGAAAGAAAGCCGACAAAATCGTATTACCCAACTAAAAATTGAGGGGGGGGGGATACTAAAAATATATTTAGCGTTTTTCAAAAATATCGGATCGAGCCGATACCTGTAAAAACCGATCCGATCTTTTTACTTCTCCTTTTTTTGTTATTTTATGTATATTTATTTTACATTAATAATATTTTCTAATTAATTTTTTATAAACAATGCAAATGCACAAAACCCCTTAAATTTTATTTATTTTTTAAAATAGATTTATAGTATTTTAAAAGTTTTTTTTATAAAATAGAAAGGAACACCCAAAGTTTTATATTATAAATCTTTTTAAATGATGACTCCAATTTTATTATTTATACTTTAAATAAAAGAATATTTTTAAATATGGTATCTGAATTATGGAAATATTTTACAAAGGACAAGGATAATTTTGCAAAATCCGTTATCTGAAAAATTCTAATTTCGCGGGGAGGAATAATGTAAAATTTATTTAATACTAGCAATATCCGTAAACTTTTTTTAATTATTGTAGAAATAAAAAATTATGCAGAATTCGATTTTTTGCATAAAAAATATTGATTTCTTAATTACATTTAATACAAGGGGGGGGGGGGATCAGTAAAAATATCGGATCGGTGAAAAATATGTGGATCAGCACAGCCCTAAAATCTTATTAGCTCAATTATATTGTAAATAAAAATTATTATTATATGAAATGTTAAAAAAAATAACTTATTTTAAAAAGTGCATTTCGAAAATTAATAAAATAAAAAGGCATACGATAATATAATATAAAAAACCAATTTTTTTTTATAACTTACGCTGCATTTATAGTAAACGCGTTATCTTCAAGTGTTGCGTTAAACGCAGCGTTATTACAGCTGATTCAATTTTGATAAGCTAAAATAGTGATAATTATTTTATTTAATATTTAAGAAAAATCATAATCCTTTTTAATACTATTGTTTTTATAATTGTATCGCATATTTTTTATAAACGCATCATAACATATTTTTCAAATTTTATCATAGCGTTAAATTTGTACCTATTTATTGGCGCTATTTTTTAATAACGCAACGCTTGAAGATTAATGTTTACTATAAATGAAACCTTAGTTAAAATTATGAATCGACGATACTTTTGTCTCAATTTAAACGCTTTACGTTTTTTTATTAAAGAAAGTACGGCAAAACGCAAACGCTCAATTTTTACACTATTAGATTGGTATGAGTGTGAATTTTCGATATTGTAAATCGCAGTCATTCTACAACGTTACACCGGCTCGGTCATTTAAATTGGCCAATTATAAATATTTTTAAGTAAAAATTTTGTTATTCAGACTGGATTTGAATAAAATAACTAAATTCAGAAATATTCTTAGTACTTCGATATGGAAATGGAAGTCCATAAATAAAAGCATTTTTAAATTGTTTATTCTAAAGCTGAGAGATTAGTAAAAATGCTTAACAATCGTATAAAAGATTGTTTGGCTACAAATTTTTTAGATGGTCCTACTGATTCCTAAGCAAAATTCAGAATAGAAACCTATTTTCATCTCATAGGTGGTGCTTCAAAATTTAGTTGAAGATAGATATTCAAATCGATCGCATTTAAAAAATTTTTTTTCCATTTGCCACAATATTCGATAGCAAATTAAATGTGAAATAAAGCGCTGTTAAAAAAATGCCAGTAATTTTAATTTCCAAAACACTAGCGAAAAAATACATTTTAGCAAATGATCTTGTGAATGAATTAGTTAATTTATCCGATGTCATTGATTCATAATTGTCTCCCAGTAATATATTAAGCGACATTCTGTGCCCAAACATTGTAATAGGAATAAGCATGGTTGCTCTTTGTTTCAGACGTCGCAAGAAGAAGTTTTTTAAGATTTTAACTATAAGGATTCCCGTTAGTTATTACCACCTAGTTTATAAGTAAATCCCTGAACATAGCAAATTTTTGCACATTTTCCGTTCATCAATTTTTAATAATAACGAATTCATATTGGTGGACGATAGGGGCATAATAATCATAATAAATGTCAGGCGCGTATGGAGGAATTTGGTGGGAGGGGGTGGGGGGGGGTGGGGGGGGGTAATTAAAATATTGCTATTTAAAAATATCAAGCATAAATTTTTTAGGACAAACAACTATTTCTAATACAGAATTTTAAATTAGTGTGAATTATAAAAAATTAAATATTTCAACCGGCATATAAATAACTATAAAATAAATGTGAATTATAAAATATTAAGTCGAGATAAACAGCATATAAATCACTATAAAATAAATCACCCAAAATAGAAATTTAATATATATAAAGTAAAAAAAATTTAAATGTTGGAAATATAATTAATTACACAAGTTTCTTAGGAATAATTGTATTTTGTATGTAATAACTTAAAAAGTATTTATGAAAAAATATATAACACATTAAAAAATAAATCGCACAAAAAATATTAAGAAGCATATTATAAATTTATAATGTAAAGGAACTGGTTAATTTTTCAATTATCTCATCTGTGCTTGGCGTCAAATGCTTATGAATATTCAAAAGGGCCAAACCATTCAATATACTGTCAGAAGTTGTACTCAGGTATGTTTTTATTCTTCTTAAAGAAGAGAATGTCATCTCATTACAGTAGTAATGTGAAGAGTTGCTAATATATATTATAATTTAAATACTCTGGGAAAATAATCTTAAAGATGTTTGAAATGATGCAAAGCATCCATAGCATTTTTTGGGACTATATCAACCATAGTTAATCTTTTATAATATAGTTGGCATTCAGTTAATAAGGCAACATCTTTAACATCTTCATGAAAAAAATCAATATTTTATTTTTTTTCTATTACCATCTGAAAAAGGTTGGAAAGGTTTTTTGTGGAAGATATACCTGCAGATTGCTAAATTCTGCCTAATGTATTAAAAACCGTTCATTTATTTGGGTTATAAATGTATCTAGAGTATGATAAAGACATTTATTATATAATATTCTTCTACTGACCCTATATAATGTTAGGACGATGAGCTTGCCTCGCTGCAAGTCGAGGGAGACAAATTTAAACTGTTTGATCTTACATCTATTTTCTTTTGCTATTTTAACCTATTTTTGTCAATATGTGATAAAATGGGAATCATATCCCCACTTTGATTTATTTGAAGAAATAATCAGTTCACAGCGTTTGTGATAATTTGTTTTTTGCTGATTGTAAAAGATTTCTCCAGCATTTTTGTACTTGTTGACTTATCTAACAGGTCTCATATCTTGCAATAAGCTTCATTCTCTTGGATAGAGAATTCTAGCCAAAACCATCTAGTAAAATAGCTATTTTAAAATTTTAACTTTCAATTTGCACATAAAGTTTGTGGATATTGAAATTTGAGTGGTGGAATATAAATCTATTATTATATAAAATATTTATCATAGGCATCTTTAATACCTTTTTAAGAAGCATATGTCTTACTTCTAGGCTAATTATAAAATGTTAAAAAATTATTTGTACTTTTTTGTAAGATGACTGATTTTCATCATCAGCAATATGTTTTAAAAAGTTTCTTATGTCCATAATTATTATTTGACTAATTTGAAAATAATAGATAAATATTAGGCCAAGGAAAACTTGAAATCGAAATTAATTGATAAAGTAACTTAGTAAATGAATGTGATAAATAAATGTAATTAAATATATACTGAAAAAGAAAGAGAATGAAATAAATATTATAAAATACAACTTAATATAAACATAATATTTTTAAAAAATTTATCCAGCATCTGCATTTTTTGACTTTTAAGGGGGGGGGGTATTTGTCCTCCTGCCCCCCCCCCCTGCGTACTCGCCTGATAAATATAATCTATATATATAATCCTCAAAAAATGTCAATCAAATTTAGCCAATAGTTTTCTTTTAAATATTATTTGTCCAATCAAAATAATTATAGCAAATTTGATCAATGGTAATCAACGTGAAAACTAAATCATTCATTCACAAATCACTTCCATAAAAACCATACCACATCACTCTTTAACCATATCATTACAAAAAAAATCATAATTTCATCTACTATTACATCTTACAGATATTTCTTATTAATATATATAATATATAATTTAATACACATATATAAAAAGTTTTTTTATAGGTTACAAAATAATGGAAAGAAAACAAAACAAGGTAAAAATTTTTTTTACAATTTTGATTAAAGATAATATATATAATATATAATTTAATACACATATATAAAAAGTTTTTTCATAGGTTACAAAATAATGGAAAGAAAACAAAACAAGGTAAATTTTTTTTTTACAATTTTGATTAAAGAAACCAAAACAAGGTAAAAAAATTTTTTACAATTTTGATTTATTTTGTTTACAAAATA